GTAGTGATATCTCAATTAAAAAGGAAATTTCAGCGCCCCTGCTGTATACAACTCCACGTGAGGACTTCCGGGCTTCAGATCTGGAAGGGTCCCTGAGGGGCCAGGACCGTGACAGGCCCTGGCCATTGGCCCCAGCCCCCGCTCCTCCCTCCTAAGTCAGCAGCTGATTTGCATGCCCTGTTGTGGTCCAGCGGCCTCCCCAGCCTGCTGCCTCCAAGCACCTGGAGCAGAACTCAGCAGAAAGACGCCCCACCTGCCGCCTTGCCTCTGGCCATGGCCTGTCGGTACCTGGCTCTCTTTCTGACCGGGGCCTTCTTGGCAGGTGAGCCTTCCCTGGGCCTGGCTCACCTGGGGGAGGGGGAGGGAGGAGCTGGCACTGGCCCCATAAGGCTCCTGCAAGGAAGCAATGGATGGGGACAGGGGAGAGGGTCATAGGAAGGGCAGTGAGGAGGAGAATCCTGTCCTGAGTAGGCCTTGGTTTCCCCACTTGGTGAATGACCAGATTACTAGGATACCTTTAGATTCTGACCCCTTGTGGTCTCTGAAGAAACTGCAGCTGGTCACTTTTTTTTTTTTTTAATTTTTTAAGATTTATTTATTTCTGACACACAGAGGACCAAGTAGAGAGAGAGAGGGGGCTGGCGCTGTGGCATAGTGAGTTTAGTCTCCACCTGTGGCACTGGCACCCATATGGGCACTGGTTCGTGTGCTGGCTACTCCTTTTCTGATCCAGCTCTCTGCTTATGGCCTGGGAGAGACCCAGAAGAAGCTCCTGGCTTCAGCTCAGTGCAGCTCCAGCTGTTGCAGCCATATGGGGCGTGAACCAGAGGATGGAAGACCTTTCTCTCTGTCTCTTCCTCTCTAACTCTACCTCTCAAATAAATAAATAAACCTTAAAAAAAATGTAGAGGTCTTCCATCTTCTGGTTCACTCCCCAGATGGCTGCAACAGCCAGGGCTGGGCTAGGCTGAAGCCAGGAGCCAGGAGCTTCACCCAGGTCTCCCATGTGGATGGCAGAGGCCTAAACACTTGGACCATCTTTTGCTGCTTTTCTCAGGCACATCAGCAGGGAACTGAATTGGAAGTGGGGCAGTTGGGACTTGAACCAGGTCCATATGGGATGCTGGCCCTACACCACAACACTGGTCCTCCGGCTGCGGATTTACTCCCTGAATGGCCACAGTGCCTGGGGCCAAAAGCCAGGAGCCTGGAACTCCATCTGGGTCTTGCATGTGGGTGGCAGGGGCCCAAGCACTTGGGCCATCTTCTGCTTTCCCAGGCATATCAGCAGGGAGCTGGAGTGGAGCAGCCGGGACTCAAATTGGCGCTCAACAGGGGATGTGGGCATTGTAAACAGCGGCTTAATCTGCTGCACCACAATGGCAGCCTCTGCCCCTCTTCTTAACTTTTCACAGGGAAGTTGGTGTGGGCTGATCTCTATCCTACAGGGCCCCCAAGGCAACTCAGAGAAGGTTCCTGGCAGCCAGGGGCTGAGCTGATGAGGGGTACAGCTCAGGAAGTTCCTGGGGGCGGCTCGTCTGTAGCCCGGGCTTAGAAGAGACATGAGACTGAGGGGTGAAGCGTGTACAGGCAAGGGGTGGGCTCCAAACCCCTCACTCACAAAGGGAAAGGGAGGCCCGGAGGGGGCATCTTAAGTCTTGTGGAAGCAGGCCTCCTCCTCCCTCTCCCCAAACGTGGCACTGAGCTGTGAACCCTCTGGGCACCCTTGGGTCTTCCTAGGGTAAGAGCAGGAGAGACACAGCCCAGCCCAGGCCTGAGTGGGTCTATATCTCTCAGTCTCCCAGCCAGTCCTGACCCAGCCGGATGCACTGCTGGTCTTCCCCGGCCAAGTGGCTCAGCTGTCCTGCACGCTCAGCCCCCAGCACGCGTCCATCTGGGACTACGGCGTGTCCTGGTACCAGCAGAGGGCGGGCAGTGCCCCCCGCTACCTCCTCTACTACCGCTCGGAGGAGGACCACCACCGCCCTGAGGACGTTCCAGACCGATTCTCGGCCTCGAAGGACGCGGCCCACAACGCCTGCATCCTCACCATCAACCCGGTGCAACCTGAGGATGATGCAGACTACTACTGCTCTGTGGGCTACACCTCTGATCTCTAGAGAGGGGTGGGGGGTGGGACAAGTGCCTCCCCACTGCCCTCCCACCCTGGCTTCTGCTCCCGACTTGGGCCCCTCACTACCTTGTTTTCCCTCCTCTGTAAAATGGATTCCAACCATTCCACATTCAACAACAGCGATTGTTGAAGGCTATGTGGTCCTGGCTGAAAAAGCGACTGTGGTCCGTCCATCTGGGAATGTGAGGGTGGGGTCTCCTCTTGCTGTCAAAGAGGAAGCACCTGAGACCCTTGGGGTGTGGCCCAGCCTTCCCCCACATCCCCGGGGTGGGGGGATGTCTCAGACTGGTGGTTTGCACTTCCTGTAACCCGGGAGCCTGAGGGAGAGAAGAAGGAACTAGGTGGTGTAGCTCCTGGCTCTGCATGGTTGGTTGTGGTCCAACGCTCTGGTCTGGGGCAGCTGGTCCCCAGGGAGCCCAGGCTACTGGGCTTGGGGAGGGGTAGCCCCTGCCTATCCTTCCGCGTCTTTACTCAAGACCCTCATGTGTGTTTGATGGGGGCAGGGAGCCAGGTGTGCGTGGGCGGGCTTGGAGGAGCACTCCGAGGCACCTGACACCACAGCTGAGGGTGCTGCAGGCCGGTGGGCAGGTGTCAAGGTCAGAATCAAGAGACGCTGTGTTCTACTGGTCCCTTGTGATCAGGCAGCGGTCTTGGGAGGGAGGCTCTGCCACAGGCTGGGCAATCTCACCTGGGCTGCTGAGAGCGGGGGTGGAGGTGGAGGGTGGTGGTGGTGTGGGCTCCGAGACAGGTCTCCAGCCCCTCAGATGCACAGAGCTGGGGGCTGTAGGGTCACGAGAGGGTCTCCTATTACACTCGCAGCCACCTTCAAGTCCTTGTGCGCCCCCCCACCCCTCGAAACCCGCCCTGCTCCTTCTCATCTCGTGGGGGTCGGGGTGGGGGAGGGCAGGCAGGCCCATAGCTGGCCTCAAAGTGGGGATGGCGGCTAACAGGAGCCCTGGGCCCGTGCGGGGACACCCGAACGACTGCTTTGAGAATACCCTCGCCTTCCTAAGACCTCAGAAGCCGCGGTGGCCTACGGTTTGCACCCAGCGTTAGGTCAGGTGCAGCGGGACCTGTGCCGCCCGCCTGGGGGCGGGGTTAGCTACGCCCGCGCCTCCCGCCCTGTTTATCCTCTGCACTCCACCCAATTCCGGCACAGCTCGGCGTTACCCACGTCCGGAGCCACCGTCCCCGAGCCCTCTAGATCCAAGCCGCCTGCGGGGTTGCGACAGCCGCTCGGCCGGCGCGGCGGGACCACCGAGACGCCGGGACCTCCGCTCAGCCTAGAGCGGTCCCGGAAGTGCCCGCGGGCCGGGGGCGGGGCTTCGGGTGCCGGGGGTGGCTGGGGGGCTTCGCGTCAGCAGCTGCGGCGGAGCGAGGCCGCGTCGGCCGCGGGTTGGGGCGAGGTAGGTGTGGCCCCGCCCCGCCCGCGGCCCCGCCCCCGCCCCGGCCCAGGTGAGCCGCCCCGCCCCGCCCCAGGTGAGTGGGCCCCGTGTCCTCGGCTGACCCGAGTCTGCCTGACCACCTGTCCCTTTGGCGGCCCTGAGTGTCCCAGATCGGTGGGAAGCCTGGAGGGGCGCCGCGTCGCCGCCCAGGCAGCGCGTGCGGGTCCGCTGCTCCCGTCGGGCCTCCCTGCCAGGAAGCCGGGACCGCCAGGTGGGCTTGCCAGGTGCCCAGGCCCCGGGGGTTGCAGTAAGAGCTGGGGGAGGCTCCGAGAAGGGATGGGAAGCGTGAGGTCCCAAACCTTTGGGGTTTTTGGTCCCAAAGCGCTGAACACATTAAGGATTGCCGAGTTTGTATCCAGAGTGGGGACTGGGGCTGCCTAGGGGGAACTGCAAGACTCCTAAAGAGGGAACCTTGGAAGCGGTCGGAGTTCACAGGTGGGTGGAGAAGGAGCTGCAGTCCACAGAGACCAGGATCGAGGGATCAGGGCTTCGGAACCTGGGGAGAAGACTTGGGAGAAAGCAAGAGGATGAAGTGGGGGGGAGAGGTGTGCAGCTCTCATGCACCCCTGTGGGCAGGCTTCCATCTCCCCGTGTGTCAAGAGAAAGCCGGAAGCCTACTGAGTTTTAAGTCCTGTCAATTAAATCCAACAGAAAGGAAAAGCCCAAGTCCTCGGGGACCAAAGGCAGCGTATCTGGGGCAGGAACCCCAGAGAAGGAGGTGCGGGTGGCAATGAGGTCATTGGATGCCCCAGCCAAGTGCTGAGGACCCGGCTGAAGTTGCAGACTTGAACTTCATCTTGATGCCATACATTAGTCTTACGATTTTCCTTGGCAACGCTGAACGGTTTAGGTTTGGGAATTAGCAGGCCAGGAGGTGCGGATCAGAGAGGAGCTAAGCCAGATGGGGAACGGGTGGTCCTAAGAAGAGGAGAACCAGGGGTAAAAATGGAGTGTTATTGGATTTGCTGAGGTCGAAGGGCATAGGCTGGGTGACATAGCTGTAAAGGTGGGAGACACTGGCGTCCTGAAGAGGAGGGGGATGAGAAAAAGAGCGGAAATGACCAAAGGATTTTTGAGAATCTTTTTAATTTATGCAGTTTTTTTATTTTTAAAAATTATTTACTTGAGAGGCAGAGTTATAGAGAGAGAAAGAGACAAGGAGAAAGGTCTTCCATCTGCTGGTTCACTCCCAAATGGCTGCAACTAGGCTGATCTGAACCCAGGAGCCAGGAGCTTCTTCTGGGTCTCCCACATGGGTGCAGGTGCCCAAGCACTTGGGCCGTCTTCCACAGCTTTCCCAGGACATAACCAGAGAGCTGGATTGGAAGAGGAGCAGTTGGGACTCTTAACTGGTACCCATATGGGATGCCAGCACCGCAGGTGGAGGCTTAGCCTATTACACCACAGTGCCAACACATTTTTGAGTTTTTTCTTACACCTGGATTTTCTACTAGTAGAAACACCTTAAAAAAATCATTTCCAATTGTGGATGAGTTCCCATCATAGTTATTCTGATTAAGTTAGCATGTTTCCTTGAGCCAGTTACTTGCTAAATTTCAGTGTAAGGATAATGGTATCTTCATATACAGACGTAAGAATTAAACGAGATGTGTTTATGCACATTTTTTTTTTCTTTTAAGATTGATTTGAAAGGCAGAGTGACAGAGATCTTCCATTCTTCCATCCACTGGTTCACTTCTCAAATATCTGCAACAGCCAGGCCTGGGTCAGGCCAGAGCCAGGAGCCAGGAGCCAGGAGCCAGGAGCTTCTTCTATGTCTCTCAGTCAGGTGCAGGGGCCGAAGCACTTGGGCCATCTTCCACTGCTTTCCCAGGCCATAGCAGAGAGCTGGATGGAAAATGGAGCAGCTGGGACTGGAACCGGTGCCCACATGGGGTGGCGGCACTGCAGGTGGTGGCTTTACCCGCTGTGCCCCAGCGCTGGCCCCTGTGAAAGTTCTGATAGTGGGGAGCTGGCTGCAGGTGCTCAGGAGCGTGAGCTGTTACTGCCAGTATTGTGTAACAGGGCCTTCCCCTGCATCTACACAGAAGGTTCTGAGTGGGGCTCCGAGGGGCTCCCAGGGGGCCATCGCAGTTGGGCTGTGGTGTTCAAACCATCGTCCTGGTCCCTGCTGAACCACCCTCCCCCCTTCACCTGGAGCAGCTCTGCTTGTGTCTGTTTTATTTATATCTCCAAGACACTATATTTGAATAAAGTGTTCTTTTCTTTTTTTTTTTTTTTTTTTTGACAGGCAGAGTGGACAGTGAGAGAGAGAGACAGAGAGAAAGGTCTTCCTTTGCCGTTGGTTCACCCTCCAATGGCCGCCGTGGCCGGCGCACCATGCTGATCCAATGGCAGGAGCCAGATGCTTCTCCTGGTCTCCCATGGGGTGCAGGGCCCAAAGACTTGGGCCATCCTCCACTGCACTCCCTGGCCACAGCAGAGAGCTGGCCTGGAAGAGGGGCAACCGGGACAGAATTCAGCACCCCGACCGGGACTAGAACCCGGTGTGCTGGCGCTGCAAGGCCGCGGTGCCGGCCTAAGTGTTCTTTCTTAAAAATAACATTTTAAAAAATATTCTCTTTTAGATGCACTTTTTAAAAAAAAAAGATTTATTTTATTTGAAAGACATATGGGGGGAGGTTAGAGAGAGAGAAAGAGAGAGGTCTTCTATCTGCTGGTTTACCCTAAATGGCTGCAACGGCTGGCGCTGTTGATCCAAAGTCAGTGGCCTAGAGCTGCTTCTGGGTCTCCTGTGTGGGCGCAGAGGCCTAAGCACATGGACCATCTTTCGCCCCTTTTCCCAGGTGCATTAACAGGAAGCTGGATGGGAAACAGAGCAGCAGGGACACAAACCAGTGCCCATATAGGATGCTGGTGCTGCTTGTAGGTGGCAGCTTCACCCATTAAGCCACAGTGCTGGCCCCTGAATATAGTGTTCTTTGGGATAAATAAATAAATAGCAACAGTTGTAGCACAGAAAATCTTTGTTTTTTCCTATTTGCTCACTTATTCAACAACTGTGTTCACTGGGTTTGTGCTGTTAGGCTGGGGATTCCCCAAATGCAGGGGACATGGTTCCCAGCTTACGTACATACAGCAGGGGGGTCGTAGTGCAGGAGGTGTGCCTGAGATGGTCAGGGATCTGAGGGGATGTTTGGGTTGGGATGAGGCTGGAAGTGCCAGGTGTGAGGGACTTGGGGGAGGCCTTGGCTTCTTGCAAGACCCTAGGATAGGGAGTGGTACCATCACTCAGCCTTGCATTTTGGGTGTTTTGACTTTGGTGTCAGTGTAGGGACTTGGACCAGACGGAGGAGTAGAAGCTGGAGGTAGTGGCCAGGTGAGAGGCAGGTCTGACAACTTCCTGGGGAGGAGCACTGAGGCCTGAACCGAGGAGTGGCAGCGAGGACAGAGGGAAGAGCCGCCTTCTGTGAGGACTCAGAAGTGGGCAGGCAGGGGGTAGGGAATGAGAGGGTCCAGGCTGGTCAGGTCCTGGCGTGGAGGGGTGAGGTTAACCTAGTGTAGGAGGGGAGTCTTGGAGTCTTCTCTCCCCTCTCCCTCTCCCTCCCTTTTTTCCAACACAGTTCACCTTGACATCATCATCCAGTTGCCAGAGTCCTGCCCTTTCCCACAGTCCTCCGCTTCCTGTTCAGCCCACCTTCCCGGGCGCCTTCCGCTCTTACGGTCTAAACTCGATGATGTGACACTTGATTGTGTCTGCCTGCCTATTTGGGTTCACTTCAAGGGCAAGGCTGTGTCTTATTTTTTTTTTTGGCAGGCAGAGTGGACCGTGAGAGAGAGAGACAGAGAGAAAGGTCTTCCTTTTGCCGTTGGTTCACCCTCCAATGGCCAGTGTGCTGCGGCTGGCACACCGCGCTGATCTGATGGCAGGAGCCAGGTACTTCTCCTGGTCTCCCATGGGGTGCAGGGCCCAAGCACTTGGGCCATCCTCCACTGCACTCCCTGGCCACAGCAGAGAGCTGGCGCCCCAACCGGGACTAGAACCCGGTGTGCCGGCGCCGCAAGGTGGAGGATTAGCCTAGTGAGCCGCGGCGCCGGCCATGTCTTTGTTTTTAATTGCAGGGGCCCACATACCTGGGCCATTTTCTGCTTTCTCGGGCCACAGCAGAGAGCTGGATGAGAAGTGGCGCAGCTGGGACGTGAACCTGTGCCCGTATGGGATGCTGGCGCCCCAGGCGGAGGCTTAGCCCACCATGCCACATCGCAGGCTACATGTCATGTGCTTCTTTGGGGTTTCTGGCGTGGATTCTGGCACAGGCCAGGGACTTGTAGACTTCACAGTCCCCCCCCCCCCTTTTTTTTTCCCAGATCATGAGGATAGTGAGGGCAGCCCAAAGAGGAGCGCTGTAACAGAAATCCAACCGTTGGGGCGACGCTAGATTCGCAATGGAGGCTCCCCCGGCAGCCAAGTTTGGCGAGGCCTTTGTGTTTGAGGACAGACTGGAGGCCCAGCAAGAGCTGTTCCCAGGGGAGGACCTCCGGGACCCTTTTCTCCAGGAGCGAGGCTTGGAGCAAATGTCTGTCATCTACAAGGAGATCCCTCTTGGAGGGCAGGACGAGGAGCGGGATGACTACGAGGGCGATTTCAGCCTGTGCCCGAGCCCGGTGCAGCCTCTGAGCCCCTCCCCGGGAGCCAGATCCCCCAATGAGGAGCTGTTTGGCCAGACTTTCCTCCAGAAATCGGACCTCAGCCTGTGTCAGATGATCCGCCGTGGAGAAGATGCCAGTCCAGGCGACTGCCAGGACGTGGGCAGGGGGCACCCGGGACCCAA